TTTCTTATTTCAACTGATTCTGTTGATTGGATATTCATTTAATTAACTTCTCTTCTTCTTCACGACTTCTTTTTAATTTCAGAATACTAATATATTCATCAATCATCATATCAGAAAATTGTCAATCTACAGATAATTTGAACGCTTCTATTCTATTGAAATAACAAACAAATCTAGTATTTTATTGAATAGTGATATTCTTTTATTGATTCAACCATCATGAAATGTTTATTTTGTTGTTGGTAGCAAATGTATTGAAATCAATTAAATGTATAACATAAAATAACAAAATGAAAATGAATATTAGTGATATTTTTTACTCTTTTTAAATTTAAATATAAACCTTTTGAAAATAATGAAAATTAGAATCAAAATGAAAAGTCTATAATGAATGATATTTCATGATGAGATTAAATAAAGAATTGAAATAAATATTTAAACTGTTGATTGAATTTAACATAACTCAATTGTCTTTAATGAAAACAGTTGATTATTGTCAAAATAGATTGATAAATTTTACATAATATTTTAATGTAAAATAATGAAGAATGTAATATATTTAAAAAAAAGAAATGAACAAATATTAACAAGAAGAAAAATATTCATGTTATCATTCTTCAATAATATCTTATCTTTAATATTTCTATTGATTTGATTGAAGATATAAATGAATATAAATGAATATTTAATTAATTAAAATAATTCAAGTGATGTTAGATTTTGTATATTATAATTATAACTGATGGGGTACGAAAATTAGCAAAGAAAAATGCATCTAAATAATTTACAAAAAAGAAAAAAGATGCAAAATATTTTGCATCATTAGATTTTTCCACTTTATTATATTTTACTCATAAAATAAATAAAAAATATGATAAATACACAATATGTAAATATTTATGTTTATATTTTATAATCATTTCTATTCATTTTGTATGAAATATTAATGAAGTAGATTATTTGATGAATCATATTTAATTATTTTTATTCTTTTTATTCTTTTATTTATATGTTATTTATGTATCGTATTTTTATATATTTATTTCTCTGTTTATACTATGTATATCATTGTATTCTTCTTATTATCTATATATTATTATATTTTTCTTATTTTATGTTTTTTCTATTTATATTATTTAGATTTTCTTATTGTTATTCTTTTATATTTAGATGTATTTGTTTATTTGTTTATTCATCTTTTTCATCTTTTATATTCTTATCATTTATATCTATTTTCATTTTATATTTATTTTCATTTTATATTAATATTAATTTTATATTTTATACTTTGAATTTATTATTATATCATTTATTATCATTTCTCGTTTTATTTATCATTTATTCTTATTATTCTTTTGTTTTTCTATATTCAATCTATATCATATATTCATATCATTGTCATTTATATTTTATCACTTATTATATGTTATAATAATAACATAACACTTATGATTGAATATATAATAAATATCATGATGAAATTATCCACATAAATAATAAACATAAAAAATAATAAAATATTTTCAACAATAAAATAATATTAATCATTTTGCATCATTAGATTATACACTTTTTATTGAATATTTCTAATTTTTACATTAAAATACACAATTTATTTCATATTTCTTTTCATCTTTTATTATCTCTTTTGTTTTATTACTCTTTATCTTCTTTCTTTTTATCTTCTCTCCTTTCTACTTTTATTCTTTCTTCTTCTACTTCTTACTTTCTTTATATTCTTTTATATCTTTATATTCTTTTATATCTTTCTTTCTCTTCTTTTTCAATTATTTGCTTTTTTCGTTGCCAAATACTAGGTATTAAAATTTATAAAATATTTATCATATCAATTGGTTCTAGAGTAATAACCTAAATCTATTTCATATATAAAATAATAAATTATTGTTGATTTCAATTCAATTTTGTATCTTTCATTTTATTAGAAAATTAAGATATTTCCATATCTTGTACATTTCAGTTATTTAAAACATTTTTATATAATATCATATATTATTATTTTTTTATTTTGTAATATATAACATTTACAAATTATTTTAAGAATATTTAATAAACTTTATGCTTTTTATAACCTTTTTTATGAAAGTCATACTAAATAAGGTTAGTTTTAAATTTTAATGATGATGCTTTAATCAAAACAGAAAAGTCAACAAAGTTTTAGTCTTAACAAAAGGTAATTGTTATGAGATAAAATATAAACACTTAAAATTATAAGTATAACCCAAATCTGAAAAAGAACAAATTAAAACGAAAGAAGATAAACTTTAGTTGGGTCTGTTTCTTGAGCATTATTTTGGCTAAAATCAATAGCTTTCTTTTGAACAACTAATTTAGTAATAACAAATACTATAAAAATAACAATAAACGCACATATAAATGTTACAGAAACAATCAAAACAGAAATGAAAGGTAACGACAATTCACATTCCTATGATTTAATATTATATTAAAATGAATAGACAAATCTGAGTTTAAGAAAACAAACAGAATAATTAGAATTTGGGGTTTGAATAAATGGAGTGCAATGTGTAATTTCATTGTTTCTACAACATGAATTATCTAATTCTGAACAATCATATAAAATACCATGTTTACAATAATGTCCATCAAGACAACTTTCACATTCTCCAGCATTATAATATTGATTTTCAGAACAATTACTAACTAAGCATTGATGTTGAATATTGTCATCGCAAAAAGGATAACATACATTATTATAAGGAGCCTGATTTTCAGCACATTCCTGACATTTAGTTCCATTGTCAATACTAATAGCATTCATACCACAGAACTGGCATGGTAATACTTTTTTATCATACCCAACATAAATAGTTCCTTCTGGACATATTTCACAATTAGAATGATGTTTGTCAGAAATAAATGGTGGGTCACATTTGATACATTCATGTTGTCCATATTTATCAGTATAATATCCATCTGGACATTGATAACATTTTGCTGAACCTATTCCTGAATAGGTTCCTGGCATGCACTGTAAACAAGGAGAGTTTTCAGTAGAATAATATCCAGCAGTACAATTTACACATTGGTCTTTATTCTGGTTAGGTTGTTTTCCAGCTGGACATGAAATACATTTAAACTGTGAATCATCAAAATACTCGTTATCAAAACATTCTTCTTTTACTTCTTTGATTATTTGACTAGAAACACAAACAAATATAAGAATATAAATAATATTAACAAATTGACCCATAATCTTATTTTATTTAGTTATAATCTTTTTTTCAGTTTTTTGAAAACAGAACTAATAAAAAAATTAATAAGAAATGAATTAATTTTTAACAAAAATCCAATCAAAATCAAAGCGATCTGGAAGGTTTTTGTGTACAACATCAGCAAAGACACTTTCACTCCAGCAAAATGGTTCTTGATCATTATGACTTGGAGCTCCATAAATCCAAGCATTAACCCCCATTTTTTTAGACCCAATTTTACAATCAACTGCACCAAAAGGAGAAGGACGACTTTCATCTAAGTCATATCTAGCTGCAATAGTAGCTCCAGGTCTTCCTTCAGTAAGAGGGTCAGTTTTAAATTTATTAAGTAACATAAATCTTTTAATATCATTAATTGTTTTTAATGACTTGCCTTCTCTATCAAAAATTCTTCTTCTTGGACAACGAGTATATGAATATCTATCACCATATTCTCTTTCTTTTAAAGTATATCCAGACAAATCTCTTATTTTTTTACTAAATGGACTATTATATGAAGCCCAATATCCTTTTTGAAGAAGAAGTTTAGTAACATCCATAATTTGAACTTTTCCAGGAATTTGTTCTGCAATCATTAATAATCCTTTATTTGGTTGATGTCCAGCCAAATTAAATTTATTTAAATCTGTAACAATCCATTGATTATTATAAGTGCCACTATTATATACTTCAAAATTTTGAAGTAATTTTTGAATTGAAGGAGCGTAATACATTGAACCTAATATTCTTTGCCAAGACAAGACAGATTTAAATGTTAAGAATTGTTTAAATAATTTATTATTAAAGATTGAGTTTGTAGTTTCCATAACACTAAAATGATTTTGAGAAGATTTTAGAATGTAGAAATCATCTTTAGAATGAAGGAATCCAGGAGAAGAAGCAAAAGTCATAGGAAGTGCATTTTTAGTAAAAGGGAAAGTATACTTTTTATAAATTCTCATCATAGCATAATATGGTCTCCATGTATTATGAGAAAAAACAATGTCTTGGTTTTGAGGTAGAATTTTAACTATTGCAGTACATTCATGAAATATTTCATGTTGATTCATTTTTTCCATATTAATAGTTGAATATTTAGGTAAATTATCATTTTTAACAAGTTTATTTAAAGTACCTAAATCACCACCAGCATTAATATAATACATTTCTAATATAGATAATTTCTTTCCATTATCACAATATTTGTTATATCCCGATAATAATCCTCTAAATTGTTTAAATATTAAATTTTGCTCTTTCCAATATTGTGTACTATTAGTTTTGCATTGATTCGTCCACCATAAATATTGTTTTGCTAAAAAATTTGATAATGCTTTTGGTGGTCCATATTTACCATATTCATTTAATCGATAATTATTCCAAAAATCATATATTAAATGTTTTGTTAAATACCCTTCTAAAAAACCAGCAGCAAATGCTTGTTTCTCAGGTAAATATTTTCTCACTGTTTCAATTTTTAAAAACCCCCATCCTTTTGTTAAATGGGTATCTTCATATGATCCAAATGCTATAGCGTCATCTGTTTTTCCTTTTTGAATAATCCAATTATTTCTATAAACGCAACTATATATCTCTTCCCCTTTAACAAATATGCAAAATAAAATAACAAAATATAACATACTTTTATTAGTTCTTTTTTTTTTAAGTTGTTGTTTTTTTTTTGGTGATATTTCTTCTTCTTTCTCTGATTAAAAAGATAAATTAAATTAAATAATTGTATATATAACAAAAATTAAAAAAAATGTTTTAATTGCAAAGTGGAATAACAATAGCAACGATAATAACTATAATGATTATTGCTGCAATAACTCCAATAATAATCCATAACTTCCATTTTCTCCAACACATAGCTTTTTTCATTTCATGTGATTGTTTCTTGAATGTATTTGCTTTATCAACCATTTCATTTGTTTTTTCTTCTAAATCTTCAGCTTTTTCAAGATTACTAGTCATTTTATCAATATTCTAATCATTTAAATAATTTGTTCTTTTTAAATTTAAAGAAAAACAAACATTTGACATTATGTCTTGAGTTTCTTTAACATCATCATAAATGGCTTTAATCTTTTCATTTTCTGGTTCTGGTTGTAAAAGAGCTTGTTTTTCTGCCTTTTTCTCTTTTAAAATTTGAGATGTCTTCTTTCGTTTAGCTCCTGCGAATGTTGGTTTTCCACTAAGATATTAATTTTTCAATAAAGATTATTAAAAAAAAAAAAACAACGAACCTCATCTGACACTCAATTAAAATTAAAGTTCTTTTGGATGTGTTTTTCTCTTTTTTATCTCGCAATTTTTTTTATCCAAATTAGTTTATTTTTACTTCTTCAAGAAGGGTTGTGAATAGGGTTTCTTTATTTTGTATAATAAAAATTGTAAAATATGAAAAAGATAAATCAATACATTTAAATTTGAGCTGTTAATTTTTTATAAGTTTCAAATTTCCATCCCCATAATGACTTTCCAATTGTGATAAATTCTTTCTTTTCATTTAAATTCCAATGAGTAGTGTATCTATACATAAGGAATATTTTTTATTATAAATTATGAAGTACCTAGAAAAAAAATAACAAACGCTTGGATAAATGAAAGAGCGTGTGAAGGTAATTCTTCCCATGGCTCTTCAAACAAAGGAAATGAGTCATGTTCTTTAGTAAATGTTGTTAAAAAAGAAACAAGTGAAGCTACTTCTGCAGGATTCCAATTTGAAGTAATTCCAGTCACAAATGCTCGAAACATTAATTCTTCAGTTCTCATTCTCCATCGTTCCATAGCATCTAAAATTGTTCTAATGATTTCACCAAATGAGATGTCATTATTTTCAATAATTTGGTTATAAATGTTTGCAAGCCTTACACCAGCTTGACTATTTCTTCCTAATACCATTAAAATATCATCACTATTTTCACTTTCTTTACCAAAAGCACTTAATACTGCTCCTTGTGTTCCACCAAAGACAGGATTTAAATCAGAAAGTAATTTATAAATTTTACCACGTTCAGTTTTCATTAATGATTTTCTTCGTTTTAATTGATCTTTTACATGAATTTCTTCAAGACGAATCAAATTTCTACAGAATTTAATCCAAACATAATCAGCAATTTCTTCATCAGTCCAATTAGCAAAACATTCATTTAATATATTATAAAAATATCTTTCACATGTTTCTTCACCTAAACTTTGTAATAATCCAGTTAATTCTTTTTTAGGAATATGTCGTTCATGAAGATGTTTACAAACATTAATTTGATTTTTTATTTCTGGCCATGTTTTCCCATTAAAAGGAATAACTACTTTTTCTTCTTCTATTTGTCTCTGTTCTTCTACTTTTTTTAATGTTTTAATATGATTATTTATGGCATCAACCCATGCTGCTCCCATATCAGGTGTATCAGCAATAATTTCTTGATTTCTATGAACGCTTGAAATAATAATATTTGTAAAAGAATCATCTCCTTCTTTTACTTCTGCAAAAGATTTAGAATTTAACTCAATTACACCTTTTGGTGTAGAATTAGGACTTGCACTAGCAAAATAATAAATAAACTCATTTTTGATTACAAAATATCTTCGTTTCCATGAATGGACTTCATACCCTTTCTTTTTTAACCACCCTTCACGGACTCCAGGTTGTATGTCTTTGAGGTGTGTTTTCTTAAAATGGTCAAAGTTAGGGTGATTACTCATTTAACTTTATAGTAATTATCATTACTAGTTCCTATTAGGAACTTCTTGAAGAAACAAATTGATTTATTCTTTTTCAAATCAAAAAAATTTATAATTAATATAATACATTGACTTTCAGAAGCTTCAAACCAAATAAAATCAATTGAATGTTTTTTTTGTTATAAAAAACACACATATGAAAAAAGAAAAATAAAAAGAACAAACTTAAAAATCATAATATTGAAGATGCAAATCAAAGTCTTTTTGTTATTTGTATTTATAATTTTAGCTAGTGCCATTGAAGAAGATGAATTTGAATTAAACGATAAAATGACAATAAATGAAAGAATGGCACAAGTTTGGCAAATAAGAAATAATTATAAACACGATTTCTTAAAAAAACATTTTAGAAGAAGAATACCACCCAAATTTATTAGAAAAGTAAGACATCACCATTGTGGAATATGTGGATGTGCTACATTATTTACTACTGTTGATCGAGCTGCAGATGAAATTGATTATATTTCACAATCAATTCATAAAATGATTGAAAGAGAAGAAAGTCCAAGTAAATGTAGTCAATGTAATAAAGGCAAATGTGAATGGGAAGCTGAGTTAAGACGAAAGATGAGTCCATATTCTCATTGTGAAAAAGTAGGATTTTCTAATTGTCAAAGAAAAGCAATCACGAAAACGTTAATAAAGAAAAGAGTTGATTTTAGTAAACAACTTGATGGAATAATGAAGTTCACTATGAAAGAGAAGATATAAATTCATGTGAAATTTTCAATAATTAAATTTTAATTAATAAATAATAATAAAATAATATATTAATAAATTTTTATTTAATGAAAAAGAAGGAAAGAAAATAAAAGAGAAAGAACTTTTATATTTTATTTGTTAGAATAATGGAAAATACTCAATATCTTTCTCCTCTTCAACAACAATTTTTTAGTCAAGACTTATGTAAAGTAGAAATTATTCCTTTAAATAAAATTGAAAGACTTCAAATGATTATTGATAATTATGGTCCTTATGAAGAAGGTATTAAATATTCAATTCCTTTATGGTTGGCTATTCATTTTAAACAAATAGGATTATGTAAAATAGTTATTCCTCATTGGTTATCTTTAGAACAACTTAAAGAAACATTAGAAGAAGAACAAAATAATGATGATTTTACTCCATTACCTTATTATTATCAAGAAATTACTTATGCTTTAATGAAATATGCAGCTGATGATTTTATTGATTTAGATGATATTCGTGGTGTTTTTGAAGATATTAGATATTGTAGAATGGAAAAATTAAGAGCAGGTCTTAGAACAATTAATGAAGAATCAGAAACTATTATTTTAACGAATGTAGGTGCTTCTGAAATAACATTATTACGTGATTGTATTAAAAGATTATTTAATAGTATTACTTCATTATCTAATGCTGTTGATAAAGCAGAAAATGTTGATTATTCACACAATTTGAGAAATATGAATGCTCAATCTCAATAAAATAATTTGGTTATATATAACAAAATATATTGAAATTTAAAAGAAAAATATAATTTTTAGTTTTAAAAAAAACTAATAAATAATTTATAGATTAATGAAACGATTAGAAAGAGTTTATTTAATGAATGTTATTTTTTATTTACAAACAATAGATGAATTAGTTAATTTTTTACAGATTAGTAAGAATTGTTATGAGTCATTTCAAATGATGCATACAAATCCAAATTATTCATTAATAACACAAACAAAAGAATTACAAATATTTAAAAATTGTAGTTCATTACAAACAGTTAATGGAGAGTTACATAACATTAGTACATTTGAATGTAATTTTAATGCTATTGTTAAAATGCCAGAAAAAAGAAGTTATAAAATAGAAGATGATACAATTTTTTATTTAAATGAATTAATAAAATATTCTTCACGAATTATTAAATTAAAATTAATAACAAATCGAAGTGATTTTGAAATTCATTGGATAACATTTAATCAATTAAATGATTTAACTATTGAATTTTATGGTGATAATTATTATGCTTTATATGTTAATTATGAAAATAATATTCAATTTCCTACTCTTTTAACTTTCACTTTTCTTAATAAATGGAATTTTGAAGAATTAAAACAACTTCAAAATCTTAAAAGAATTTGTATTAAATCAATAAATTTAGGAAATGACCCACCTCAATTAGAATCGTTAATTTACTGTGACAAAATAATTCAAATTGCAAATAAAAAAAGAAAAATTTATTTTTATGGAAATAAACTAAATATAAAATCTCCTAATAAAAATGTTATTATTATGTCTAATTCATTAACTGAAGATATTAAGACAATTTCTTCAAAAGAAGCATGGTCTAGAATTGATAAATTTCATTTTGATTTATTCATTAGAGATTGGAAAAAATATTATCCAATGAAAACATTATTTTATTTATCTAAACCTTTTAATGATCTTTCATCAGTTAATTCTCTTGTTGAAATAGAAATTGGTAGTTCAATGATTCCTTTTAAATTTATTCTTCCTAAAAACATTAAAAAAATAACAGTAATAGGAGATTTAAACATTATTGATATTTCATTATGTAGTAGTCTTGAACTTAAAATACAATCACCTGACATTTCTATATTACCTTCTAAAAAAGAAATTATTTCTATTATTATTGATTGTCCTGATCTTATTCAAAAAGATTTAACTAATCTACGTCAATTTGAATCTTTGAAAACTCTTGTTTTAAATAATTATTCTAATTCTATTATTTTACCTGACCTTCCAGGTGTCAATATCATCATTCATAACAAACCAAAAAAACAATATCAAATTAAACCTATTGAAGAATCAAAGAAAAAATTTTCTCATTGTCTTATTAACTAAATTAATTAATTTCTCTATTTTATTTTCACTTTATAACAATTTCATTCAAAAAATCTTTTATTATTTTGAATGAATTTGGATGATTTAAATGATTTAAAAATTAATGGTTTTGGTCTTATAAATTAATTTATTTTTTTTTTCTTGATATTAATAAAAAGAAAAAATCAATGTTTTTTATCGAATTGTTTTTCCTCATTAATTTAAAGATATTAGTTTAGCTTGTTATTTCAAAAACTATAATATTTTAGTTCTTAGTTTTCGAGGAACTATTAAAGGTAACTGGAAAGAAATTATTTTAAATAGTACTATGAGAATAGAACTTAAAGTTATTGAAGGAAGAAATTTAAAGGGAGCTGATTTCGGAGGACTTTCTAGTGATCCTTATTGTAAAATTATTACAAGACAATGTACCCAACAAACACAAACCGTTTATAAAACCAGAAATCCATCATGGAATAAGTCATTCATAATGGACGTTTTTCCAGGTGAAGATATTAAATTTGAAGTTTATGACTATGATACCTTTGGAAAGAATGACTCTCTTGGATCCACTCATTACAAAGTTTTGAATGGTTTCCCAGGTCAAGTTGTTGATACTTGGTTAGGTCTTTCTAAAAAAGGTGAAATTCATATCCAAATTATTTTCCAAACGGGTGCACCAGCCCCAGGAATGGTTCCACCAATGCAACCAGGCATGATGCCACCACCCGGTGCTTACCCACCACCTGGATATCCACCAATGCAACCAGGTATGATGCCACCACCTGGATATCCACCAATGCAACCAGGCATGATGCCACCACCCGGTGCTTACCCACCACCTGGATATCCACCAATGCAACCAGGTATGATGCCACCACCAGGATTTTATTAAAAAATCTTCTTCCATTTAGTTATTTTTTTTTTTTAATAAAAATATGTTGAAGGTGGCATGTCTCAAACACTAATAGAATTCAAGCTTCGACACTCCCAGTTATTATCTGGTTATGACGGTGTATTTGAATTAGAAATGTATTAGGTAAAGTTGCAAAGGGTGTAGCAAGATATTATGATAGAATATTACATGGTGTAATATAAGGAAGTACTAAAGTGTGGGTAAGACTAAAAGAAAATTAAACACAATAATATAATGGGAATGAAATAGTCTCTTCTCTCATTCATAAAACAAGAAAAAATGAAAAAGAAAATGTTTAAAATTAAGACAGAAAATAAACAAAAGGATAAAAAGAAGAATTAAGCAGAAGAAGGATGAGAAGACATTAATAGGAAAAAATAAAGAAAGAAGTGATTTTCTCAATTTGCAAGAAAAACATAAGTGATAAGTTAAACAAAAAGATTACTCTTTTTTAAACAGCTCAGTGATTAATCTCGGCTAAACTAGGAAGAATATATGAAAAATCTATTAACACTTAATTAATTGCTTTGTTAATAAAAATATGTTTATAAAATAAACTTTGAAAAAGATTTATTATAAAAAATTAGAGAATATTTATGTAATGTATTAAAAATAAAACCTCATTTTATTAATAATATTTAATTTAATTTAGCAAAAGCTGTAATGATATCAGTCATTTTGGTTTCTGTTAATTGATTTCCAATACACAAACGTACAAATTTGTTTTGACACCAATCTTCATCCAAGTGATGTTGAAGAACAGCATGATATCCTTTTTCTTTTAATACATCAATTAATTGTTGATTATCTTTAGAATTTAATAAAACAAATGGAAGGGACTCATCACCAATCATCTCTACATTTTTTACTTGTTCTTTCATCATTTGGTTGAACTTATTTCTTCTTTCTCTTAACGCAATTCCCATATCAACTCCCTTACTAGCAAATCGTTCAAATGCAATTTTACCAGCACGACAAGTGAAAGGAGGGGCTGAAGCAGAGAAAATAAATCCAGCACCAAGAAGTCGTTGTCTTTCAATCATATCATAATGTCCAACGACAAAACCACCAACAGTATCACACACAAATTCCATAGAACCACAAAGGACATCAACATCATTAACAGTTAGTCCAAGGTGTTCTAATGTTCCTTTCAAAGTTGCACCAAGAGCTCCTATACCAAGAGAATCATCAACAATTAATAATACATTTTTACTTCTTAAAGAAACAATATCATTTAATGGAGCAATAGAGAGGTCATGTTGGAAAACACCTTCTGTTATAATAATAATTTTATTAGGATAAACAATTTTTTGTTTATATTCGTTTAATTTTTCTTGAAGATCTTTTGCATCATTATGATTATATTTTATAGTTGTGGCTCGTGATAATCTACATCCTAATTGAATTGGATAGTTACAATATTCATCAACTAATATAAAATCTCCTTTTTTACCATATACTGGAATTACTGATGTTAATGTATTATTTCCATAACTATAAACTAATGCATCTGTAGTTCCAAAATACTTCATTAATTCTTTTTCTACATCTAAATGTTCTGTTGTAGTTCCATAAAACGCTCGTGGACCACATGAACCACATCCAAAGTTATTAATAACATTAATTAATTCTTCTGTTCTTTCTATATCTTGATTAAATCCATGAATATCATATGAACTTAATTCAACACCAACGGATCTTGTTACTTCTTGTACTATTTTTCTATTATCAGAATTTTCACTTAATAAAGTCATTTCTCTTGGTTCTTTTGGTAATGCCTCAAGTTCAGATAAATCAACTTTTGGTGGATGATAAATAACATTTGGTTGAGTTGTATTTCCAAAAATACATCCTATTTCTTTCATTCCATTAATCATAACGTTGTATGTTTTTTCCATATCTTCATCAGTATGTGCTGCAGAAATACAAAACCTTACACGGCATGATGTTGGTGTACATGCTGGAAATCCTACTCCAACAACAGCAACTCCTCCCTTTAAACAAATACGACAAATGTCTTTAATTTTTCCTGTATGATATAACATAACTGGAATAACTGGTGAATCAGTATCACCAAGAACATGACATCCTGCTTCAATAAGTCTCCTCCTAAAACAAATTGAAGATTTTCTTAATTGTGCAATTCTTTTTTTTCCTTCTTCTGTTTTCATCATTTCTAAACATGAAATAATTTGTTGTGCTTCTACTGGTGACATTGGAGATCCATAAACATATGAATAACAATTAGATCTTAACATTGAAATAGTATTTTTATCAGAGGCAATATACCCACCTGCAGAAGCAAATGATTTTGAGAATGTACCCATTAAAATATCTACATCATCAAAATTACATCCAAGATGTTCAACAATACCTCTTCCAGTAGAACCTAATGCACCAATAGAATGTGCTTCATCAACATATAAATAAAATCCATAAGCTTTCTTTAATGCAATAATTTCTTTTAAAGGACAAAACTCACCTTCCATTGAATATAAACCTTCAACAACAACCATAACTTTCTTTGGTTGTTGTCCATTTTTCATTCCATGAATTTTTAAGTCTTCTAATTTAGCTTTTAAATCTAAAATATCATTGTGTTTAAATACTTTAACTTCAGCATTAGAAGATCTCATCCCAGTAATTATGGAAGAATGATTTAAAGCATCAGAAAAAACAACATCTCCTTTTCCTACTAAAATAGGAATTAATGTAGAATTAGTAGCAAATCCCATTGGTACAACAACAGCAGCCTCCTTATGTAAAAATTCAGCTAACATTAATTGAAGTTGTTCTTGTTCTTCAGAAATTCCTATTTCAGCAGCAAACCCAGTTAAACAAGCTCCTTTTGTTTTTAATGTTTGAATAATTTCTTTTGTAACAATTGGATGTCTTCCACCAAATCCAAGATAATTATATGAACCAAAATTAATAGCCTCTCTTATGTTTCCTTCAATCAATTCAAGATGTTTACCTCCTTCTACAGAAACTTCTTTTCTAATTCCTATAGAAATATGATGTTCAGGTGGTCCACAAAGTGGTCTATTAAAACAGTCATAAGAAGTGGTATAAATCTTTCTAACATAAAAGTCTTCTGGTGTTTCTCCTGTTAATGGAGGTTCAAAGTTATTTAGACCAAGCCAATAAAGACACCAGTCTTTATAATCACTAAGTTTAGCAGACCCTATCATCCAATAATAACCATATTGAGCATGTCTCTCAATACCAATGTATTGCCATAAATTTCCCCATGTAGAAAGTTGATAATTATCGTTGTTTTCCATTGAACTTAAATTTATTTAACGAACTGCCTTTTATATACCCTTAGCCAATCACTAAGATTGAAAACAGACATTATTTTTTGTCTGTTTTAAGTAGCTGCCTCTCAACTCCCTATTCGCAATTTTTTTGGATTTTGCACATGTCTGTTTGTGACGTGTCTTCTTTTTAATCAAGCATAACAATAATTCGAAATTAGTTGAAAAAAGAATATTTCTTAAAGTAATAAATTCATAAGAAATAGAAATAAGAAAATTTTTTTATGAAAGATTTTTTGTGAATTTTAAAAGACTTATGATGATATATTTCTAAAAAAAAAAATAATAATTATAACATAGATATATTATTTTATGAATTAACATCTAATACACATATTCATAAGTAGATGGGTCATCATCTTTTCTTTTCATATATTCTTTTTCGATAAGAAATTCAATACATTCTTTAATCATTATAGTTGATGGTACAAATTTATATGAGCTAATTTTCATTATTTCTTCTTTTAATTGTTGATATCCAATAACTTTTCTTTGTTTCATAATTCTTACAATAATTGCTTGTAGACTAACCTTTCTACTTTGAACGAGTTCTTTATTTATTTGATTTTCTTTAGTGATTTGATTAATTTCTTGAAATCCAATAACGATTTTTTTTCGTTTTTGCTCAGTAAAATAAGATGTTTTGATATGGTTATTTGCAATAACCCCTAATTTAGTTAATACATTCTCTGCCCTTTCAATGTCTTCTTCTTTTATTTTACATTTACATTTCCATTCTGTTTGGTATTGATTAATAAGGTCTAAAATAATATAATAAATTCCTGCCAATATCATCTCATATTTATATTTTCCAATAGTTACTTTAACATTAACCTTAGCTAAATTATTAAGCCATTTTAACTTTTTACTTTTTCCATTTTTTAAATATTCTTCTTCAAATCTGCTTTGAGCCAATGAAATACTTTTAGGGAGCATATCATTTGATAATGAATTTTCAGTTGAAAATGGCCAAATACCTGAAGTTAAAACATTAACATAAAGAGGAGTTATATATAATTCATGAAAGTGAGCATTTAAATTAACACTATTATTAATGTCACGAACCATATGATTCATTTTAGATACATACTCAAATCCACAAACAGAACGAATTCCATCAATACTACTTTTCTCAATATCTTCATCAATACTAACTGTTTTGTTTATTAATCTCCGTGCAAAATAATGAGAATTAAAATGCATAAAAATATCTTTGTTTTGAACTGCTTGTAAAATATTCATTAATTCTTCTATCTTAGTTAATATAACTTCTTTACTGTCTTTTCCTACTCCAACCCCACGTAATAGTTGATCAATATATTGAGCTATAAATTTGGGATGGAGTTCATTATATTTATTTGATGGTGAGTTGAGGAATTGATTTAAACGCTGTTTTAATTCTTCACCAAATAATGCATTTCCATTAAACAATTTTAAAACTTCACTTACCTTTGTGTGACAAAAAATATACCTATTTAATAGTTCTATTCCAATATCATTTGATTCATTACAAGTAAACCCATTTAATGTTTTGTTAAACATAGAAATAACCCACTCACCAAATGAACGAGAAAGATCAGTTAGTAATTCATTAGAGTTAGAACATTTATTAAGTGCTTTATAGAATAAAAGAATATATTCAAAATTTTCTGCTTCAAATCCTTCTTTAAAATGAACTTTTAAAACTTCTATCTTCTCTTTCCATAGTTCTTCACTCATAATTGATGAAATATGATCAAAAGTGATTGAGTCAAGATTACACCCAATCACCTCTTGTTCTTTTTTTAATAAATTAATACCTTCTTTTAAATAATTTTTCATATCAAGTTCTTTAATATGAATGTCTGCCCATTTTTTTGTGTACTTTTTAAGTTTGTTTAAATAATCATTCTCAAATGATGAGACATATAATCCAATAATATCACTTCCTTTAATAGAATGTAATTGAATAAGTGTTTTACAATACTTTTTTATTTCTTTCATTTCATAATTATCACTTTTCCCATTTCTGATTTGTTCAATAATATTGATAACAACTTCCTGAATTTGTTTTTCCAATAAATCAAAAATATTCTTTTTCCATTCAATTTTACCAATATCACTAATCTCTTTAAACTTAGCACTTGATCCATTTTTAATAATTTCTGTTTCAATTGTGTGTTTACTTAAATATTTACAAGCACGTTCAATATAATTAATGCCATTTTCAAATTGTTCAA